TCGCAGAGAAGTCAACAACGATCGCATAACAGTTACTTGCTTGGTCGGATGAAGGGCAGCGACAGAAAGTCGTTTCGAACTCGGAAGCTGGAATTCTCACTACCGCCAATTCTCTCGATCAACGAGCAACAGATTAACTGCAGGTTGCTTTGGGATAATCAGCTGAGGAACGGATATCAAGTCGTTGACTTGCGAACAGAGACCGCATGGCATAATGGAATGGTCATTACAGAGAAGATGAGGTGCTGCATTTTGTGCAAGACGAGTGCCCTTAGAGCAATTTGGCATTAACTAATCTGAAAGCAGGCTATCAGCATAAGAAGCGTAAGATATAGACCTGTAAAAATGCAAGCTGAGTATTTTGTGATTAAATGATTGTTTCTTGATTCTACAAATTTTGGCGCAAGGATAGTAGATCAAAGACTTTCTTTCCAAAGTTTCGACCATACGACAATGGTTATCTTACGTATTCGAACTGTGAATACTGCGGACGCCACAAACCAGGACATTCTGAATAGGCAAACAGCCTAATGAGATTATCACACAAATACACACAAATAACTAATGATAATCAGCACAGAGTGCAAACCAAAAAAGATATGGACAACGTGATTCGGGTTTCAGGCATTGATGAATGCCTGTACGCTGATTTCAACTTTTTCGATTCATTCCATAGTTACTTACCGCCTAGAATGATATCAATGTATGCAATTACCTACAGTAACGACATTATGATCCGCAAGTTCAAACTTGAATCTTAAAGACGGATTAAATAGCTGATTAAAGATCTGTTAAATCTTCACTATGCTACGTACGGAAAATTTTCAAGAAATGGTTGTCATTATAATTATCAGAATGAGAGAACTAATTTACTTTAGCCTATCACGTGAGTTTTGTTTTTAAAGGTCTGCCTCCGCTGAAATTGCTGTCATCAGTGATTCCATCGGAGAATCGTACATATTGAAAATTAGTGTCTAAACAGTTGATTAGAGAAACATTGTGTTCATTTACAGGTCATTACGAAAATCTTGGACTCCAAATATCCGCATTAGATATCAACATTAAACGATAAACGACTTGCTGACGAAGGAGCTGAAAATGTGCTACTCCAAATGCCGAACCCAAAAAAGATTTCACGGTTTTTTCGTGTGTTTATCTTTAGAATCAGAAATACTAACTTTTCAAAATTAGAAGTTTCTTTGAGGCACGGAATGTTCCAGACGTGTTCTCACCTGTTTAATACATATATCCTAACCGGAAGTGATTGACATGTACCGTTCAGAGTAAAAACAACATGAATGTGTCAGTCTCAACAAGTCTGTTACATGGATTTCTGTTTTGACTGTCCAGTGACGTCACGGATCATATTTTCCATCCATTTGTTGGTGGATCATCCGTAATCATCGTCTGATTTTCCCTCCCGCTTATTGCCTTCATTCGTTTGGTTGAAACACAGTACGGCGTTATGTAACTTATCGTTGATTTTTTGGGAGGTTGTAAATACGTTCTATTCTATAAGTTTATGAGTGAAGTGACGTTGTCTTAGACATTCTTACCTTAAAAGCATAACAAGAGTATTCGAATCTGTTGACCGTCGCTTTATTAGCCGACTGGAGATGGTCTTCCCCTCTCTTTGAAACCTGTATGTAGATATTAGATTATAAAGGTCATTTGACTTGTTATGAAGAATCTGTGAAACAAGAGAAATTAAGAATTTACCCATTTAACTTTGCCATAATATTCTTTATTTCTCCATATATATCGCTTTTGTTGATTTAAAACACTGCTCTTCTAGACATCAGGATTACATTTCAATTCCATCTTGCGTGTCGTATAAATGGAAGTTAGCCATCCTGTACAAAATATCAGCATTCTTCGTTCCTTTTGCATCAGTTTCAAGTTTCATTGCCTTCGCGGTGAATCAGAGGTCACGCGATTATACGAATATTTTTTCGACCGTTAGCGAGTTTACGCAAAAAGGTTGTTACGAATTGTGATGACATGAGTTTAAAAATAGACAAAATTCATTGACACAAATTATTTGAGTACGACTGAACCGGCACTCGCGTAAACTGCTGAAAATAACAACTGGATACTTTGACAAACAAGGAAAATAATCTTTAGAGTGGGTGAAAATTAAAATGCTCTGGGGCTTTTGCCCTGAATTTTGAGCCATAGGACCATGAACAAAGTATGCGACTGTTCTCTGGACATTTTCAGAGAAGCGAACGTTAATTACTTGCACGCCAGATTTTAATCGGCTTCTGCGAACGAAGTACAGATCTGAAATGGGCGACGCAGACTGGTCTGATGTTTCCAGTTTTTAATCAGCGAAAGTGGGCGACTTTTTCCAATTTCGTTTATTGACACTAATGATCGATCGAACATCTGCTCGAGAAGTTGGCTAATGAATCTTAACTTCGAAAACAACTCACCGTTACGCATTTGCCAGCAGGCATTCACGATCGAACAAACAGCCTATAAAGAATTTCACCCAGTCTTGCGCCTTCTGAAGTACGGGTTGTTGCCATCAAAACTTTTGTTACATTTGCAGAAGTTATTTAACCAGGCTATAGACCAGCGGTGGACGAGAAGGACGATTTCCTGAAGCGCACGCAGACTCGTAAAGTGAGAAAGCTATGTTCCGAACGGCATTGCCTTTCGCGGTACTTCTCATTCTCTTTCCGCCATGTAGTAGCAGAGAATGTCTGACCGTAAGAGGCAGGGTAAAATGCTCTGCAAGCAGAAATAACTCTCCTATTCTCCTCAGACTTGCTGACGAAGACACAGGTATTGTACTTAATGCAGTATATCTGTTTATTTTTTCATTTGCTGTGCATATGATTAACCATCCGAACAATCATGAACTGATGAAATAATTCGATATGTGATGTTAAGTGAAATAAGCACTGTAATGAATATTTAGGAATAGTCAACTGTATTATGACTGAAAGATCATACAGCTGTTCGTCGTTTGGAAATCACCATCTTTAACCTATTATCTATAGTTTCAACCTCATGTTTATACAGCCAAAAGCTGCCACGCCAAAGTATGGAATTGTTTAGCAGACAAAAGTGACGACAATAATGTGGACAGATCAAAATTAGGCTTCTAAATGAATCGCTTCGCATTAGCACGCTTTAAAGTTACCGACTAACTCAGTGTTTGTTCTTGGAAACGTATTTAATCGGTTAAACTGGTGTGAAAATTGATAAGAAGAAGCCATTAGATTTATTCGTTGTGGAAAACGCATCATCGTTCCCACGAATACAAGAAAATTTTCAACGGTTGTGAGGGAAGTCCAGCGCACCTGTAGATAAGAGAACAACCGAAAACTGAAACGAATGTGCAAGAGTCACAACTCAGAAAGTCTGTTTTCACCAAAAACAAAAAGCCAAAGAAATTGGAAGCAATAAAGTGATTTTCAAAGGTTCCTCTCATGCTTTTCAAAATAACAGGGCTCTTCCAAAGACGCTTAAAATCGGATATAAATATTTGTTTCGAATGAAAGTTCACAAATATTAGTTTATTCGATACCACTCTTAAATCCGGAACAAGATCAGTAGCAGTCTTGGATCTAAAAATGGCCAGTAACCTGCAGGTATGGTCAAATCTGGTGTAGTTGTCTTTTTGTTTCTGAATGACGAGCTCCGGTTAATGACTTATCTTTGCCCTTTCTTCATGCAATTTGAATGTCTTGGATATGTAAAGTATGATGATGAATTTGCAACGAAATATATGAGTTTAAAAACAGCATAAACAGAGGAAGCAGTGTGTTCTGTCTTACCTGTCGGTTTAGATTTTTGGCCGTTCTACCATGACTGCCTTCAAATTCTTGTTTTTCATCCAGTTCATTTCTCTGCGAACGATCCTTTATGCGTCATATTGTCTCACGTGATACATTAAAATATTATGTTCAAGAGCCCTTCTATCTGATCTGCAGAGACAAGAAAGTGCTTTTTGATTGGACTGCTCACTGTCCTGCCAGTTTCTCCAATGTAGTTCAGTCACATGTTCAGTTTATCGGGAAATATCACTTCGGCATCCTCTTGTTTTGGTCTGATCCTTTTCCAAGTAGGAAGCTGCCGAGCTTATTCGAGAATGTGTAAAACGTGGTTAACCCACAGGATTTGCCATAAATCGTTTGATTCTTTCGTTTAAACTCTTTTGGTACGTTAGGTTAAGAGAGCGCTGTTTCGGAAGTCTTCTCTGTGATTGTTGCTCCTTTCGGATTGTGGTTCCACTTTGTTGAATTTTTCACGGGTGAGGGCCTTCGAATATCGGATTTGCTCCAATTCAGTAACAAGTTTGCTGTCCTCATGACAGACAGAGGAAGAATACCGCAGATTCTTTCGTTTCAGATGTGCAACGTTCGAACTAGTTCTGTATTTTTTGATGTTCAGGTGTGCAAATAAGGTTGACGTAACGTCCGGTGAGCCGCTAGTCTTTTAACTAACGCAGAAATCTGACTGTGCTTCGCGTACAAGATAACTTTTGATAACTGTAACCAAAATTCGAACAAGCACTATTACCAATCGCACCTATTGCTAGCTTGTCACAAAGACAGAGCTGTAGGATTGGCTGGTCTAGCGGTCTACAGCCTGTAGTGCAGTATTGATGCAAAAATTTTTTATCCGATCCTTACCATTCAGCCATTTTGACATGGTTGACCAAAAGTATGGAATGTTTCGGTGATCGTCAGAACTGCAGAGATATATCAGTACTTCATTCTGTCAAGACGATGTCGAACAGGAGACATATTTCATATGTTTATCGAACACCAGTGTGAAAATGCATGGCATGTGACGTGTATAAATTTACGATGATATTTAAATTTTTACTTCCGGAATTATTCTACTGGTTGTAATAATTTAGCGAAATAAAAAAGCTGTCAAAAAGCGCTTAAATGTTTTATTATAAAATCCTTTCTTCTAGTACTCTATTTAGTACAAAGCCATAGATTAATATTACTCTTCTTTCAGCTGGTTACGATGATCAGATGGACGAGGCGTACGCTAGCAGGAACGGCGCTTTCCAACTGCACGGATGTGCCTCTGACATTTTCTCGAAAATAGATCCAATATTAAAGATCTACCACAAATGTAAAGGCACGCCTAAACGAATCACAATACCAATCGACCAGGAACATCTCGATAAAGTGTTTACCTTCGATAGGCCTATTGATTTGAAGAAGGCTCACGAAAAGGAACAGGATCATGAATACCACGTACCAAAATGCCCTAACGTGAAAGAATGGCAGACAACGACGGTTTGAAGCAAAAAAAGCTATCTTAGCAGTTAAAGAGCACAAGCGCACTTTCCCTCAGCGATGACATCACTTTTTCTGGAGACGGATTTGAGAAACTTAATTAGTACGTTTTAGTGTTTTACGAATTCACCGAGTGCATTGTTTTATATTTAACGATGTATGTTTACTTCGAGAATGTATTATTTGTTTCGAGACCCAAGAATTATTACGACAATGTAAAGTGCTTCGTTTACACTTCGTTTACACTCAAGTTTCCACTTCATATACTTTCGCCATCGTCAAACGAATAATATACCAAAGAAACAATACAATTCTCAGCATTTAGACGGTATAATCGTATCACCATCTTGGTTCTAGTGGTATATTGCCAGTATATATACATATATATTTGTTTTGAGGTTTTGTATCTATGCCTGTGAGTGCTAAAATTCTATCGAATCGTGGCCTGCTTAAGGTGTCCCCAAGACTGCTGGAGGCAAAGGGACGGTGCGACTCCGCCGTGTAAATCCCGAGGATTGATAGGAAATTGCCATTCTTACCGGCGGTATCGAAAACAAGTATTTCCCCATAACAGGCAGTAAGCCCATATTACGGGGATATATTTGCGACCACTATTAAGAGCTTGATAACGATGTGACCGTCTGGTTTATTCCATGATTTTTTCGAACTAAATTCTCGATGATATTCCAGTTATCACTCGGATTAAACGAGCCGTATATTCGTTAATCAGTCAGAGTTTGTTAGCCAACATATGTAATGATTCCTTAATTAATGGCCTGGTGTTTGCTCTTTCATTGTCAGCAACAATGACATTCGCTTGACTTAAGGAATGTCCCAAAAGAAAGTAAGAGAACTGATGCCAAGATTTTTCGCTTTCCATTGCCCAGAAGGCTAGACGTTTCGCAACCCTTTTTTTAATTTCCGTATGATTCACCTGACGTTGATCTTGTCAAGGTCATTACATTTAATCTCATAAACCATGAGATCTATTTCTCTCTCTATCCTTGATGAAATCACCAGTAGATATGCAATCCGAAGGAATGTTCCGCTTCGCAATAGATTCGAAAACCTTCATTCACCAAGTATTATTTGATTTTATTAGAGAGTTCGGGAATAAATATGTGATTGCAAGGAGGTCTCTTTCGTTGTTGTTTCTTCACTATAGCCATTTTTGAGTAAGAAATGTTTGTAAACCTTCAATGTTTGCTTGGAAAACAGAATCTGTGGGTAAAACCCTAAGAGTTTTAAATTTTATTTTACTAACGATATTTTCCAAAATTAATTTAGGGGCATAGGACTTTTCGCGTAAGTACTTTTAGAATATAAAAGTTTTCGATAAAGCCAGTTTCTAACCAGTAAGTTGAAAAAACTGATATAAACTTTATAGGGATCCTCATGGACTTATCCAAGGTTGTGGTGAATTTTTAAATATATGCACAAGGACAAAGAAAACATTAACTTTAAACACTGCGAAAATCGTTAACTATTGTTCAAACAGGCAACCAGTGACATCCACGTCCATTCCTAGTTTTTCGTTTGTAATAGATTTATTTTCAGTATACAAAAAGGGTTCGCAGTAAAAGCTACACTGTACAGTTAAAAAACTAGTTTAAAATACATAATACATGTAGACTACCAATGCCAGTAACAATATTTAAAGCATCACATTTGAAAATGCAAACTTTTTATCATTAAAAACTTTATTTTCTTTATTTAGGTATATAACAGCCGCATGCAAACCCATCTTCGACGCTGACGTTACAGCCAGTTTGGTACGATTTATTTAAGAGACTTGTAACTGTTAAGAACTGAAAAATGTACAAAATCGGTTTATTTATACAAAACCCAAACGAATTAAATTGTCAATCGGGTGATTCACCAGAAACGACGTTTCGGCTTGCCTTTTACGAGTCTTCTTCGGGGTGATCCGGGTTGATTTTTGCAATTGATCCTGTAGTCCGCAGCTGTTGTGGCATCTAGAACGAAAGGTGTGCTTTTGACCCATGCTACTGGTTAAGCAGTCTTTGGGCCATGGCATGATGAAACTTATCCAATCCACGTACAGTTCCCATCCTTTGCACCTTATGGTATGTTCTCAGGATTAGATAACTAAGGATTTTTTGGTTCTTTCTTTAAAGATGCCTGAGCAACCTAATCATTTTCCTGCCGCATTCTGTGCGATCCTCGAGGCCATTTCAAATTGTTCTTTGACCTTGTCATGATGGAGAGTTTGTTCCTTTCCTGGATACTTTGCTGGCGCATATCGTTCGCGTTTGTCTTTAGTCATCCATATTCACCTGTTGGACAAGTGGTCATTTGTTCTTTGGGTGATGGTGTTTCCGGTTTTTTCCTTATATTACATGCCGCAATGGCAATGAACTTTGCAAATCCAACTTAAAAGGTTGTTATTATCAGAGTTAGATATCGAAGTATTAATAACAGCGCATATTAACTACTTTAAAACTATTCATAAATAGATCATTTCAGAACTTAAGGTAAATTACGCAGGATAGGCAAGAAAAACTTATTGTACATAACATCAGTCTGCAACATTGAAAGCGATTAGTAATCTCGCTTTTCAGAATGGAAACCCGATGTTCTCTGAAGCCATCGATATCGTCTCTGAATATACCACACATGGGGCGGGAGGGCTTTAAGCAGGCCACGGCGACATCGTATTTAAGCGCCTGCAGTGCATATGACGGAGGACCGCGTCTCGTCTTTTTACTGTGATATATTCAGCAGCGGTATTAATAGCTCTCCAAAACAGTGGGGTTCCACTCTGTCACTCTTTCTTCTACGAATCGTGGCAGTGTTTCTTGTTCGAGACGTGGTCCTGCATCCTAGTGCACTGCAGGCGCTTAAACATCATGGAGACGTGGCCTGCTTAAATGGCCTCTTATGTGCTTAGAAGCAAGGGGTGGCGCGATCAGCTGCTGGTGTAAAGTGAGAAATTTAATTTTCTTTCTTTATACTGTGCATTCGCTGTTGGAGTTCAGGTATCATTATTATTTTTACTCTTCTCCCTCTTTATTAATGAGTTTCTTGAATCATTTCGAGTATCATAGTAATAATGGTTAAGTTGCATTAGCGAATAAACTTCCTTACATTATCGTTTTCAACTTTCTGAACAAATAGCTTACTGTTAATACCAACAGAACAGTCAAGGTAAGTTGCATCGGAACCAGATTTCGACCGTAGCTGTTATCCCGCTCTAGCCACAGTGCTTGAACTCACAAAGGCATTAGTAAATACGCATGAAACTTTATAACAGGGCCATAGGCTGAGATTTTTCAAACAAGCTGTGTACCGCGGGGTTTAATAAATTTTGACCTAGATGTTTATTAGAATTAATTTTCTGAACTTACAAGGCTTGAGATAAATCGAACTGTTTCAAATATTTATTCTGGTACATAACACTGTCAGTGCACCGGATCAATGACGCTTCATACGACGTCTCCTTTGTAGGTACTGGTCAATGTAGCTATGAATCATGGATTCTCAAAATCACTCTTATATAGTTCGTTCAACTATTATTTGTAGCCTTCTTAACACCCTCCACCCGCGACTCCTCCTCCGCTGCTGACCTCCCAAATTCTACGGTTATTATAGCCATGCTGTCAGATACGCTACTGCATTTTGTCTGAACTGATTAAAACTCAGCGTAAGGAGTGAGCCTTAAATTTGATTAAAAGTTCGAATGATAAATAGTTTTAATAAAAGTCTGTTGAACTTCAATGGCTGAAAACGAGCGAATAACAGAAGAAGATTAGAAGCGTTGTATGTTGGCATTATTGGAGAGCAACAAATTATTTGAGCTGTGGAAGGACGCAAAAATGGGCAGTAGCTCTAAGCTGTGGATAAGGGCTTACATTCTAAACGTCCCTTTCTGTGGCTAGATGATTGCAGTGTTTAACCGAACTGAAAACAGCCAATTGGAAGCGACAAAAATTCAGATCAATATTTGGGGTGAAGTGGTACAACCTGGTGTCAGATGCTGTTGCAAGAGAGAATGAAATCTCCAACGAACGTGACAAGCTAAATGCGAATAGGGTGTTTAAGATGTGGGGCTATTGCCAACGAATAGAGGATAGTCACATTGCGAAGTGCACACCGAACGCAAAATCTGATGGCGAGCGGTCACTAGAAAAACCTCAACCAAGAGGGAGGCACTTGTTAGAACTGACACGACATCGAAACTTCTGAAGACCGCACACGTCCTTATTCGATACAGGTGGAAGTTTTTATAACGCCAGGCATCGTCTTCGATACAATGAGATAAGAAGAAGAAATCATGGCAGATATGAGTGATAAAAGAAAAACTCAACCTGACATACCATATGCGATATATCAACTGCTTCATGCGGTAAATCAATTTTTCAAAATTATTAAAACGAAACTTGTTATTAAATTGAATTAAATCTGATTCATGCGTTTGGAGTGGTATAAATTCTACTGACCATTTGAGAAGGACTGTGAATATACAGTGCGTTTATGGTAGCTGTAAAACTCTATATTATGCATTCCTTATCACACGCATTATTTATCGCTCGTTTCTGAATTAGCTTTTTTAGAATTCCGTTCCTTCCCAGTACGTTGCAAATACACCGTGCAGGATAGGTTCTAATTTAGTCATCTTCATCTTCCATCGCCGTTCCTCCTTTCGGGTCGCGGAGGCAGATGCGTCAGACAGAGCTTCCAACGTTCCCGATCCTGTGCCAGAGTCTGAGCTTCGGCAAAAGACAAATG